AAGTTGGTATACAGATGTAACTAATTCATCTGAACTGTTATACTAGTCCACTGTACAACAGACCATTTTATTTATGGAATCCCTTACTTGTGGCCACTCCCCCTCCCCTTTAAACTACTTTTCCTCTAGTAATCAATACTTTACTCTCCTAGTACATGTCTCCCTGTACCGTGTGAGTTCCTATATATCCAGAAATTAAAGTCTTAGGTCATGGGGCATATTTATTTATTTATTTATTTGAGGCGGAGTTTCGCTCGTTACCCAGGCTGGAGTGCAATGGCACGATCTCGGCTCACCGCAACCTCCGCCTCCTGGGTTCAGGCAATTCTCCTGCCTCAGCCTCCTGAGGAGCTGGGATTACAGGCACACACCACCATGCCCAGCTAATTTTTAGTATTTTTAGTAGAGACGGGGTTTCACCATGTTGACCAGGATGGTCTCGATCTCTTGACCTCGTGATCCACCCGCCTCGGCCTCCCAAAGTGCTGGGATTACAGGCTTGAGCCACCGCACCCGGCCATTTATTTTTATTCTTACTAAATATTGCTGAATTGCTCTCCAAAGTGGCTATATCAATTTACTATCAACCAATCGATGCTGAGTTGCTGCCTTCCACACCTTTTCCCACACTTGGTACTGCCAGACTTATTAAATGTTTGCCCATCTGATGGGCAATATTTGTAGTTCTGCTCATCTAATGTTAATAACCAAACAGAGATAGATGTTTACAACATCTCTATATTTCCCTGCTTCTTAACTCAGCTGAATCTCCTCTGAAGTGGCATGCCCTGACTGACTCCACTGAATGGGCAGGTTCTTTTTTGTTCATTGCTAAAGGAGACGTCCGTTGTTTAGTGTTGAAGAAAGATTATCTGCAAGTAAACTGAAGATGTTTGGAAGGGACAGGACTCCCATCGGAGAGTCTTTACTGTAGAGTTCAGCCAGTAGCTATGCTGGTCCACAGTGGGAAATGCTAGGACCGGCAACCCCCCTGCCCTTGTACAGCTGATCTCGGCATTTCTCCCATTGCAGCCACAGTCTGCTCGAAAGGCTGCTTGCTGGCATCAGGAAAGAGGCTTAAGGCTCCTCATGAGCTTTGTCTATGGACAGAAGCGGGGGAGGTGAGTCTCAGAGGCTGCTGAAGGTAAGGCAACCAGCTAGCTCTCCCTCCTACGTGCAAACCAGCACAAACCACTGCAGGGGCGGGGCTTCACCGCACTGCTTGGTGGGGCCCTGGAGGCCCCACTCTTGAGCTCCTGGTCACACCAGGAGCCGGAAGGGCCTAGCAAAGGCTGCTTTATCACCATCCACCCACTCACCTTCCCCCAACAGCCTCTTTAACAAAGCCCCAAGTATTCAGATTACTCAATTATCCAGGCTGCCCCTTGGTGAAAAATGCAACTTCCCTGAAAGTATGGTAGTATCAAAAATGGGTCTTCATACACCTGGTTGTTTAGCTCTGTTCCCATCTGTATCAGTTGCAATAAAACTTTGTTCACAGGGACAACGCATTCTTGTGGTACATCAGTTAGTTGGGATTTGACTGTGGACTTTTGGAGTGATTCAGAATGAAGGGTAATGTCAAATGAGTCATTTTCCTCTACTCTGGTCTCAGTCTTAGCTCTTGGCCAAGTTAACACATCCTGAGTTGCCTTCATAAAAGCTGAAGCAAAATAAAACCCAAGAAAGTGAGTTTGTAATGTAAGTGCTGCCTTTTTTTCTACCTTCCTGCTCACAGCCATTTCCTCATTTCTTCCATTGCTTCAATATTAAGAAATAAAATGCTTTTTCCTGTGACCCCACATCAGTGTCACAACATTCAAGGCGCAGAAGCAACTCCCATAAGGTGCTGTTTGGAGTCACAGCTACCAAATTTGCTAAGTCACTGGGGGTACAGTTCTTAAAGAGCTACTGATGCTCTTTGCTAAATATGAATACATTATTTCTAATGCAATCCAAGTGGCTGTGCTAGACAGGAGACCAACATCCATACATTTCATCTCAAGTCAGTAACTGAGAAATGAGTTCAAGGACCTTCTGTAAGCCGTCATTAATGATGTCCCAGGAGAGGCTGCCAGGCCCTACAAGAGGCCCAGGAATGAAGCTGCACAGACTGCATTATCGGGGCACCAGGCTCTGCCACTCTGCACCAAAGCCAATCATTTTTCACTTAGTTGAGATATTTTTAATTAGGGGAAACGTATGCTTCATTATTTGACTCACTGAATGGGGAAAAGGGAGTTTTTAAGCCTGCAAGAACCACAGTGTAGTTTCCCACTCACCCAGTGAAGATAATTCTCTCAAAAGCAGAATAATCGAAAGGTTGAGTCATCTTCCCCACAGAGCCCCACTCCCCCACAGATCTGGTGATGGGTTACATTTCCCCTCCCCACACAACAGCCCACTCCTGCCCCACAGCACCTGAGGCCACCAAAGGGCAAATTATTTGCTAACAATGCTGCAGCAGAGGTAGTCCTGACCTCCATCTCCTTGGTGGCCTACGGAGTGGCCACACCCTCAAGACCACCAACTGGCTCGAATCCTAACCTAACCAGAAGGGAGAGCAAGTCAAGGGCTGGAATGTTCCCGTTAAGTAGTATTCCACTTACACTTACAGGGAAACACCAAAGGCTTACGTCAGCCCCTCCCTGACTGCCTTTGTCTAGAGGTCCCAATCTCAAATGACCAAAGAGCATCTGCTCCAAGAGAGCTGGAAAGTTACATGATCAGTTACTTTGTTAACACTAAACCAGATCCCTGAGGGGACTGGTTTCCAGGAGACACTTGGTATTTAAAGCCTTATTCCCCAAGATTAACTGTAGGCGTTTGGGGACAGCAGGAAGATAATGAATCCAGAATTTCATACGGTGGATTAAGTAATTGTGCTCAAAATTAATACACTCACTCACAGGTTTTTCTTCTGGGTATCTCGCTAGAGATTAGACGCTGAACTGAGTGTGCAATGTATACCCACATAGGCATGAATCTTTTCAACAATCATGAGGAAAATGTTGCTCTCAGTTTTCCCCCCGGGAAACTAAGGTTTCACGCTGAATTCCTTCAATGAGCTGTCTCAGGAAATTAATGAGTCAAACCTTACTCTAAAGCCTTTTTGAAAATGTCCCAATGTCTCTGTCCACGTGGACCTTCACTGTTGGTCTCACTTTACCCGTACCAGCAAAGGTCCATGCCTTGGGTCTGAAGTACGCAGATTAAGAAGCCAAGGGGCCGGGCGCGGTGGCTCAAGCCTGTAATCCCAGCACTCTGGGAGGCCGAGACGGGTGGATCACGAGGTCAAGAGATCGAGACCATCCTGGTCAACATGGTGAAACCCCGTCTCTACTAAAAATACAAAAAATTAGCTGGGCATGGTGGCACGTGCCTGTAATCCCAGCTACTCAGGAGGCTGAGGCAGGAGAATTGTTTGAACCCAGGAGGCGGAGGTTGCGGTGAGCTGAGATCGCGCCATTGCACTCCAGCCTGGGTAACAAGAGCGAAACTCCGTCTCAAAAAAAAAAAAAAAAAAAAAAAAAGAAGCCAAGGGATGCCTTTCCATGACTGGGTCTTTAAATGACCTTCAGACTGGAAGGTGCTATCCTGCATCTTCTAATCCAGTGTGCTTAGCACGTGGTGAGACCTTGCGAGGCTTCCTGTCCCTCTCCCTCCCCCAACAGGAAGCTCGTACCCCCGTCTCAGCATTACAAGGAATAAATTTTATGTTCGTTCCGTAACTAGATTGTGAGTTCCGCGGGCTTTCATCTAGTCATCCTGGTCAACTCCAACCACCCAACAGCCCTTGACCCACACCATTTGCGTTGAATGAACGAGACAGATTTCCTGCCCCTCTCTGTAACCAGACCCCCACCCCACCCCCCGGCCTCCGCGTTCCACAGACAGGGCGCATTTGTTAAGAAACATGCAGCAGAGGCGCGGACCGGGCTAGCGCCGGGCGGCCCCAGCGAAACCTGAAGCGGTTTCCCAGACCCGTTACGCGGCCCAAAGCCATCGCCCGGTGGGCCCAGGGCGCGCTACGTGCAGCCCGGCCGCGGCGGGATGGAGAGCAGTCCTCGCGGCCATCCAGCAAGGGCGCGGCAAGCTCGCGGGCCCCGAGCCATTCCCCAGGACCTCGCAGGCGGCCCATCTAATCCCGGCCGCGCGGGACGCGCCGCGCCACAGGGGGAGCCGCCCAGCCTCCGGGCAGCCGGGCAGGCCAAGGTTACGTAAGCCTCCAGCTACCCCCGGGCCGCCGCATCCCGCCCGCCCGCTCCGGACTCGGGGCCTCAGCACCCCCGAGCCTGCGGGATGGAAAAGGGGCGCGGGACCGCGCACGGGGACCAGGGGAAGTGGGCGGGCACAACCAGAGCGGAGAGGGAGGGGACGCGCCGGGAGAGGAGGGGGATGCGGGGGAGCGGACGTGACCAGCGAGCAGGGGGAGGGGCGGCGAGAGGGGACTGGGGCGCGGGAAGGGCGGTTGCGCATGAATGGAGGATGGTTGCGGGAGGGCAACCACAGCAGAGTTTCAACAAGTTACACGGAAAGCATCGGAATGGGGGGACAAGGGCAGGTGGAAGAGGAGCGGGTGGACGGACCGGTCTTAAGCGAGAAGGGGAGGGCAACCAGCACCGAGCAGGGATGCGGAGGAAGTGGAGGCAAGGGTGGGCTCGATCACGAGGCAGAGAGAAGGCGGGCGAGAATGGAGGCGGACTGAGGAGGGGGGCAGGAGAAAGAGGATGGCACCAGAATGAGGGGAGAAGGCTGGGGCGGGAAAGAAGCCGGGGAACCCGCCTGATCTGGAAGGAACGGCGCTGGGGACTTCCGATGCGCAGGCCCCAGGCGTGAGGACGGTTCTCCTCTCCCCAAGCTCGACCGCGTCCCAGACGCCAGGGATCCTGCGCCGCCCCGCCCGCGTGCGCCGGGCCGCCAGGCGGCCGGGATTCCCCACTAGCCGGGCGCACAGGCTCCAGGTGCGGACGGATGGTGCAGCCTGTCGCACCGCTCACCTCGGGTGCCGACCGACTCGGGCTACGCTGCAAACGCGAGGAGGTCTGCAAGCCCGGGATGCGCAGCTGCTGTGCGGGGAGCCGAGCCTCAGCCTCAAGGTTATCCTTCTGCGAGCCGCCGCAATCCCTCCGCCGCCCCGCCCCCTGCCCAATCCCGGCTCCCCGCGACCCGGGCCCCGCCCCCAGCGTCCTCGCGGGCGCAGTCACCTTCAGGAGGAAGCGCGGCGGCGGCGGAACTCACGGGCAGGTTGCCCTTTCGTTGGGAGCGGGGACTACATTCTTCGGCGGAAGGACACGGATGCAGAGTCACAACCCCGATCGGAACCCCTATCGGAACCCCTATCGGCCAATGGGGACGCGGCGGGGCAGCGGGACCCGCCCCCGGAGCGACGTCCCTCCCAGACCCCCGGGCGCCGGGCCACCTGTTGCAGCCAACGTGGGCTGCCAGGTGGGGTCTCTTTTCTTGGCTCTCGGCCCAGGCCACCCCAGCTGTCCCGGCCTAGCCAGGCAGGGCCCAGATTTATGGGTTCATGGGTAGCATTCTCCTGGCCCCGCCCTGCCACTCTCCACCCCTCTGGGTGTCTGCCCGGCGCACCCTTGGGGACTGAGCTGAACGGGAAGTTGGGAGGAGCTGCAGACTAGTGCGTGGTTGGAGGTCCCGGCCGCCGTCTGAGGGGCTCGGGCACAGGAGCGCGAGTAGGGAAAACTAGGGACTGTGGAGTGGGCCTGGAGCGGGAGCACGAGGCCCTTTTGCTCCTAGGACCATTCATTGCCTTAGGACTGCGGAACAAGGAAGGACAGGTTGGGGCCCTGTTAGTAATTTAGTTAGGGTCTGGAATCCTGCAGAGCGAGCGCCTGAGAGTAGAAAGCAAATAGAAGGTATTGATATTAGCGCAGAGCTGGGCATCTAGAAATACCAAGTCAGAGCATTAGAACCGATAACCTATGCAGGAGTCAGCATTTCTGTTTTCACCCTAGTCGTGAATTTAAGTCAATGTTGTTGGAACTTTCCCTACATTTTTCTACAAGGCATTTTCCGATTTCCCAATTGTTAGCCAGCAACCAGTGATGCCAGCAGTTGTCAATTAAACAGCTGTTAACTCTTGCCTTCATTCACAGATACAATGTTGTGGCATTCAAAATATGAAGTCTATTATCTTAGGTTGTTTTTTTCTTTTCCTGGCAAAAGAGACTAAATGGGTGTGACTTGCTCGGGCATACCCTCTGCCTACGGCTGAATCACAGGCCTTCATTCGCTTCCTGTTAGCTCAGATAAGCTGGAAGGAGACAGTGACAGCCTAACAGTGAATTTGTTGTTTTGTTTTGTTTTGTTTTGTTTTGTTTTGTTTTTTTGAGACAGAGTGTCGCTCTTGTTACCCAGGCTGGAGTGCAATGGCACGATCTCGGCTCACCGCAACCTCCGCCTCCTGGGTTCAAGCAATTCTCCTGCCTCAGCCTCCTGAGTAGCTGGGACTACAGGCACGCGCCACCATGCCCAGCTAATTTTTTTGTATTTTTAGTAGAGACGGGGTTTCACCACGTTGTCCAGGATGGTCTCGATCTCTCGACCTCGTGATCCACCCGCCTCGGCCTCCCAAAGTGCTGGGATTACAGGCTTGAGCCACCGCGCCCGGCCGTGAATTTGTTTTAAGTGAGATAAAAATCTTTCAGTTTCTTCTGTAAGCCTTTCCTGGTCCCTTTGGTTGTAGGTGGGAAGTAAACTACCTACTTGATTATTAAGGTGGTGAAAGAACATGAAGTTGTTGAGAAGAAAAAAAGAAAAAAAAGACATGCCCCCCTAAGGAGAGTTAGATTCCTCCCTATTAGAGAAGTTAGATTCCTCCCTATAAAAGGCCCTCTCTGGCCCCTGAGCCGAAGACAAACTAAGAATAATGGTGGACAACACTGGGATGGCAAGGATCTGGCCAATGCTGGACTGCGTTGTATTTTAAAGTTCTAAATTGTCCAGGCGTGGTGGCACATGTCTGTAATCCCAGCTACTCAGGAGGCTGAGGCACCAGAATCGCTTGAATCTGAGAGGTGGAGGTGGCAGTGAGCAGAGATAGCGCCACTGCACTCCAGCCTCGGTGTCAGAGCCAGACTTTGTCTTAAAAACAAAAATGTTGCCGGGCGCGGGGGCTCAAGCCTGTAATCCCAGCACTTTGGGAGGCCCAGGCGGGTGGATCACGAGGTCGAGAGATCGAGACCATCCTGGTCAACATGGTAAAACCCCGTCTCTACTAAAAATACAAAAAATTAGCTGGGCATGGTGGCATGTGCCTGTAATCCCAGCTACTCAGGAGGCTGAGGCAGGAGAATTGCTTGAACCCAGGAGGCGGAGGTTGCGGTGAGCCGAGATCGCACCATTGCACTCCAGCCTGGGTGACAAGAGTGAAACTCCGTCTCAAAAAAAAAAAAAAAAAAAAAGGTTCTAAATCTAGATATGTTCCCAAGACTGAAATGCACATGTATTAAACTGGAGAACTGATGGCAAACTGTTACTCCTCAGTTGCAGATTTTGATCTGACAGTTATGAAATACTGCCCATGAGACTCTCACAGAGACAAATCCAGCGAATCCTTGCTCACATTAAATTCTTAGTAAAAATTTGTCACGCTGAATTTAAGGTAATTTTCTTTTTGCAGATAAGTAGGGCAGTATAGTAGATCAAGCTTGGTTCTATCATACCTTAGTTCCAGTTTATGACCAAATATTGTAATTTAATGTGTAGAAGTCCAGTTCCTCAAAAGTAAATAGAGGACAATTCCTGCTTCACTTGGTGAGGTTCTATAATGATGATGTATGTATGTGAATGAGTCCAACATTGCCCAGTAGGCATCCTCTTTCTTTGGGAATTGACTAGTCCTGAAGGGCTGTCCTTATGTAATACACACACACACACACACACACACACACACACACACACAGAGAGAGAGAGAGAGAGAGAGAGAAAGAGAGAGAGAGAGAGAGGTTTTCATCCATTTCCTTGCTTATAACTTCCACAGTTGTTGTTAGTCTTTTATTTATAATGCTGGGGGGCATGTTAGGCTCAGAAGCAGGCCTCAGAGAGCAGAATGTCTGTCTCCGTCTCTGACCTCTGTCTTCCTTTCACCTGTTCTTTTCCCCAAGGCAGAAATCCTCCCCCAACTTTGTGTCTTGGAGCCAGCTATAAATAAATTCTTTGTCATACCTTTTCTGATTGTGGGTCATAAGACCGCCATTTCAGGAGTCCTGCCCTGTACCTTGGAGGAAAGAATGCTGCACAGAGGCCAAGACAAATCTTGAGAGGCCTTGCTGGGTTCCCTCACCTAGTCTAGCCTATCAGTATGAGATCATACCCTTTGGTTCAAGCACATTTCTACCTGGTCATCCATCATGCCTGTCCAAGGAAGTCTCCGTAAAAGGCCTACCAGTACAGAATCTGGAGGCTTTCAGCTAGGAGGTTCGTGAAGGGTGGCGCTCCCAGGGAGGGCATGAAAGCTCCATGCCCCTCCCCTGTACCTGGCCCTGTGCATCTCTTCATCTGTATTCATTATAATACCCTTTATAACAAACCAGTAAATGTGTTTCCCCGAGTTTTGTGAGCCTCTGTAGCAAATTAATTGAACCCAAAAAGGGAATCATGGGAATCCCAAACTGAAGTTGGTTGGACTTGAACTGGTGTCCAAAACAGGAGCAGTCTTGGGGACTGGGACCTCCACCTGTGGGATCTGATAGTATCTCCAGGTGCAGTGCCAGAAATGAATTGGAGGACACCCAGATGATGCCCGAAGCAGAACTGATTGCCTGCTTGGTGTGAGGGGAAGTCCCCCACATTTGGTCACAGAAGTCTGTATTGATTGTTGTAGTGGTGGTGTGAGAACAGAGGAAAAATACAGTTTGAGTTGGTTTTTCCACAAACACCTTCTGACCAGAGCCAGAATGTCTTCCTGAATTTAAGCTTGCCCTTCTCTGGGCCCTCACTCCTTTGACCCAGTAACAGGTCAAAGGAAACTTGGGTTGCTAAAGGAGAACACAGGTTCCTCCCACTAGAGTCAGCCCTTCCACTGTGCTGTGGGACCTGGCCAAGATGGGAGGCGAAACTGCTAGGTTCACTGGATTTGGGTGTGAATAAAGGTGGAAATTGGTGTGTTTTCTGTTTGGAGGCTTGACCATAGAATCTGTAGTTTAATGGTTTAATGCTAAAATCATTTGGAGTCCCTGGAGAAGGGGTGGTAGGTGTGTCAGCAAACCATAATGAACCAAATCCTGGAGCCTAAAGACAAGCTTTGGCCCTGATGAAGACGGTGAGATTACAGGCTTTACATCAATTATGTGACATCTTAACCTCTGTCTGAAATGGCAGTGTTCTCTCAGGACAATACAATTTCCAGGAAAGCCTGGAATGCAGGCCCTGAATGCCAGATTTGAAGCGGAAATATAGTACTTATCACTTTGGACTTACACAAGGTCTCATTTTGTCACCCAGGCTACTGTGCAGTGGCATGATCTTGGCTCACTGCAGCCTCAGTGTCCCGAGTTCAAGCAATTCTTCAACCTTAGCCTCCTGAGCACCTGGGACTATAGGCATGCACTACCACATCTGGCTAATTTAAAAATTTTATATAGAGGCTGGCTGTGGTGGCTCACGCCTGTGATCCCAGCACTTTGGGAGGCTGAGGCGGGCAGATCACATGAGGTCAGGAGTTTGAGACCAGCCTGGCCAACATGGTGGAACCCCATCTCTACTAACAATACAAAAAAAAAAATAGGCATGGTGGCAAAATACAAAATTACAAAAATTAGCTGGGCATAGCGATAGGTGCAGGTAATCTCAGCTACTTGGGAGGCTGAGGCAGGAGAATTGCTTGAACCCAAGATGCAGAGGTTGCAGTGAGTTGACATAGTGCCACTGCACTCCAGCCAGGGTGACAAGAGAGAGACTCTGTCTCTAAATAAATAAAATTTATTTATTTATTTAGAGATGTAGAGATGAGGGTCTCACTGTTGCCCAGACTGGTCTCAAACTCCTGGGCTCAAGTGATCCACCTGCCTCAGCCTCCCAAAGTGCTGGGATTACAGGTGTAGGTCACTGCACCTAGTCCAGGTGAACGTTATGTTTTTATTTATTTATTTATTTTTGAGACAGAGTCTCACTCTGTTGCCTAGGCTGGAGTACAATGGTGTGATCTTGGCTCACTGCAATCTCTGGCTCCTGGGTTCAAGCAATTCTCCTACCTCATCCTCCTGAGTACCTAGGATTACCTGCACCTGCCACCATGCCCAGCTAATTTTTT